TCTTGGGTATGTAGTTCTACTAGGTTCCTTGAACACCTCCAAATCTACCTGGCTCACCTCACAGCTCTTCAATGCCGTCTGCACAGTCCCCGGGTTTGGCCACTAGCCGCCATGCTCCCGTGGTTGTTTTGGCGGACTCTCTCGAGAAGCCCTCCCTTGACGATCGTGACTATCGCGTAGTTCGTCTTGGAAACCGGCTCGTGACCCTTCTCGGCCATGACCCTTAGACCAACAAAGCTAGTGCTGCCTTGGACGTCAATGTGGGCTGCTTCAGCGACGAAGATGAAATGCCTGGCATGGCAAATGCTGTAGGACATGTAAGCAAAGTCAAACCAACCCATCCGGGTACCTCCTCTTTTCCCCTGTTTTTCTTGCCATTGCAATGTGGACACTGCAGCTTCTGTTCATGGGCACAACAAAGTTTCCTGTGGAAGATGATTACAGCCAGTATCTGTCCACCAACTCTGGTGATTATAATGCTTACACCGCGTATACCTCAACTAATTACTACTTCGACGTTGCGGCCAAACCAGCAGACGATGAAGAACCCTCAGAGACCAACCCGTCACCGCTCCTCGGGGCCCTTGACCGTTTTGCACAGTTTTTTATCGAGCCTTTGTTTTCTCCAGGCACCCTGGATAGAGAGTTACGGGCTGTGGACTCAGAAAACCAGAAGAACATGCAAAACGATTAATGGCGCTTCGACCAATTGGACAAGTGCCTTGCCAACCCAAATCACCCCTTCTGTCATTTTCCCACCGGAAACATTGAAGTCCTCAAGACAATACCAGAATCTCGGGGTATCAATGTTAGAGACAAATGTATCCAGTTTCACGCCGAACAGCCGAACACTATTCTGCCAATCAGATGAAGCTCGTGGTTCTTGGTCGCGAGCCATTGGATGTCCTCCAAAATTGGGTAGTCGAACTATTTTCAAGCATCGAGAACAAGAACCTGGAGCAGAATCGATGGTCTGACAGGGAACCGTTCCGTCTGTCCGACCTTGGCACTCAATGCTTTGCCAAACCAGTTATGGACTCAAGGGTCTTGAGAATAGTATTCCCTTTCATGGATGAGCATAGTATTGAATCGCCACCGAGCGAATATATCGGCCACCTTGTTGGCCATGAAGGTCCTGGGAGTATCATGGCGTACATCAAAAGCAAGGGTTGGGCAAACAGCCTCGCTGCTGGTCTAGCTCCAGTCTGCGCTGGATCTCCTGATAACTTTGAAGTTCGTGTCGAGCTGACTGAAGAGGTATGTACAAACGTCCATTACGCGAGTAAGAGCAACATCTAACGCGGCTATTGTCTCAGGGCTTAAAACATTACACCGGGATTGTCAAAATCTTTTTCCAGTATATTGCTATGCTATGAGAGTATCTTCCACAAGAATGGATATTCCAGGAGCAAAAACATCTAGCTGATGTAGAATTCAAGTTCAGACAGAAGATATCAGTCAGTGATTTCACTAGTCGAACCAGTTCCCTGATGCAGACACCCTTAGACTGGAGGTGGCTGCTGAGAGGCCACAGCGGGGTTGGCAAGTTTGATCCTTCACTCATTGCAGAATCTTTGGAGCACTTCCGTCCAGAAAACATGAGAATTGTTATCTTGTCTCGTGACTTCCGTGGTGACTGGGACAAGAAGGAGACGTGGTACGGAACGGAGTATCGCCACGAAAAGATACCTGCAGAACTCATAGTTGAGTTCAAGAAGTCCAATGAAATGTCCAAGGACAAGCGACTACACCTGAACTACGTTTGCCGCAAAAGAACAACTTCATCCCTAACCCTGACAAGCTTGAAGTGGAGAAGAAGGAGGTCACGCAACAAGCTCTAGCTCCCCGAGTCTTGTGTAATGACCAGCGTGCTCGACTCTGGTGGCTCGAACTTTGTGTATAAGAAGACGCTTGAGGATGGCAAAAACGTTAACCATTGTATTGAGACTTTTTTCTACGTTGGTCACCAAGGTGACTGCCAGGCCAGGGCAAAGACGCGCCTTGTCGAACAGATGATCCAGGAACCCGCCTTTGACCAACTACGCACCAAGGAGCGGCTTGGCTACATTGTCTTTTCGGACTTGCGAAACCTGACCACTACTTTTGGGTTGCGACTTTTGGTCCAGACTGAGAAGACACCCGAACACCTTGACAGACGGATCGAAGCTTTCTTGAAGCAATTTGGGGAGCAGCTACAGGGAATGAGCGAAGGCGAATTTAAGAGCCACAAGCGTAGTCTTATCATCAAGCTTCTTAACAAACTTGACAACTTGAAGCAGGAGTCTTCAAGGCACTGGGATCACATTGAAAGTGAAGACTACAATTTTGAGCGAAGTGAGTCAACCACGTTACGTACTCCTAGCACACTACGGACTTCAAATTGCTGACCTCGACGCCACGAAATAGACCAGGGGGACGCTGCACTCATCCAGCCACTTACAAAGTCAGAGATGATTGAATTCTACAACTCTTATTTCCACCCATCTTCAACTACTCGCGCCCGTCTCTCGGTCCACCTCGAGGCACAAGGCGCAGGCAACCTGGATACCAAGGTCATCGGAGTCCTGAAGGAGAATGGACCCGAGGATATTCCTCAGGAGAAGCGGCAGAGTGTGCATCTCCTACGTAGCTATCTTGAAGGTGAAATGAAGAAGTCCTCTGATGCGTTGAACAGTGTGATCGAGGGGATCAAGAAGTTGGGGCTCAGCCAAGATGATCAAGGTGAGGCAGTCGGCGGGTCAGCCAAAATTGTCGACTCAGCCAGGGGATTTCTGATGTCCGCGACTTCAAGGCTGGCCTGTGTGTCAGCGCAGGCGCAAAAGCCGTCAAACAAATCAGCGAGTTTGAGGAAACCGACAAGCAATGAAGGCAAACGACGGAAAAGAAAACGTAGAAGATCAGCCCAGGCGCGATGCGTGTCAAACAGATCAGCGAATTTGAATGGGAAGGAAGGCAAAAGGATACAAGGACAATACTTTATTTTTCGAGTTCTTTTGAAGACAAAATCCTAAACCTGGACCTGAGAATTGAAGCAACAGCGAATAAATATGTCTCTGACAGCCCTGTGAGAACGTTCAGATGCTCCGTTAATGGCATCAAGGCAATCGCAAGACGTTTGAAGAATATTAGTTATGTGAAAGATCCTGGTTGCTTAGTTAGACAAGAAGTCTACTCCGAAAATGGCTGCCGCTAGATGGACGCGTTGTAGCGAATCACTCCTTTGTTGTATTTGACTATCAATCTGTGTTACATAAAGTTTCCCAAATTATGACTTTTCCTCATCTCAGCCCATACATTGGTACAATCTAGTTCCGGCTCATTGTCGTTGGTGTCCTGTTTCACTACGGTTTCTCATGCATTAGGTATTTATTGTTCGCGGGCTAGCTTGGAGTCATTCCTCCAAGTGTTCAGCATCCTATCTACAGCAGCTGAAGCGACTCCAGCTTAAAGTGGCATGAGGTGAAAGTTGGTGTTGGGCACAAGATGAAGAGAGGTTTGTTATCGAGACGGCCTGTGGCCATTGCAAACCGTATTGTTGCCCGTACAGCTGTCATGTTCCGTTTCCACTTCGGTCCAGCCGACAGCGATTTGCCTCCCAGGTAAAACAAAAGATATTTCCTCGTAACTTTTTGGTGCATTGAAGCATGTCCTCTCTGTAATCTGACCATTCGCTACATCTGAAAAGAAAGTGTGCTACTGTTTCTCGTTCTCTGCCGCAACGGCATTGATCTGATGCCAGCCTCTTGATTTGATACAAATAATTATTTAGTGCAGACATGCCTGTTCTCAGCTGGGCTAGGACGCTACGTTCCTTCCATGGAAGTTCGTTGTAACGCAGCCGAGTATGATTCCCAGGCAGGGCCGCATCTATTCTCTTGGCGTGTTTACCAACCTTCTCCGGTAAGTATCGTTCGGCCTTCAGCTTCTGTTTTTGGATGTTCAGCGTTGTAGACCGCATCCTTGGGAATGCGTGGCTCCTTCTTTGGTAACTCGCGTGCCTCGGTCTTGGCCACCTTCAACATTTCATTTTCACCGCTTACGGGAATCCATTCGATTGCCACTCTGTTTCCTCTTTCCCGTAGCTTTTCTATAGCCTCATAGATCAACCGCACATATACCTGGCCGGACTGCTGCCGTGGGTTACCAAGACCAATCACGACCGATTTGTTATTGGTTATCACAGCCATGGTCCGGTCTGCAATCGTCGGTGGGGATCGCAGAGCATATGCCATTGCCGCTAGCAGTCCTGAATACGGGTTCTGTTTCGCCCTGGGACCAAGTGTGAAAGAGAAAACCTCACACTTCGATTTTCCTCGTGCCGAGATGGGTAATTGCGATACTCCGCCAACTTCGACCATACCATTCCGTGCTGAACTGTTTACTGCCAATATCACGCTGCATCCTGCCGAAGTTGATGTTTGTGTTGCATCCGAGATGGTTTGCACTCGCTTGACCCAGGGCGCCAACGGAAATGGCGTAATGTTCTCTATCTCGCCCACTGGGATGTCCTTCAACCGGCATGCCACTTGGTGGAAGGGCCATCTTCGCGATGGGTAGAAGTTCTGAATCCTGGAAGTGACACGCCGCAGCGGATTTGTGTCCGGGAGAGTGTGAATATCAATCCATAGCTTTATCGCCCGCCGCTAGTGTCGTTCCTGGACGCTTATGATATTGGCTTCTGCCTCTGCTACATTAGCGGCTACCCTGAGAAAGGTCCCAACAATTGCTTGGGCTCCAGCCGTTTGGACCCGATTGACCGGCCTAGGAGTTTGTCCTTGCAGGCGTGCATCCAGACATTCGATCGGCCCTAGGAGTTTGTCCTTGCAGGCCTGCATCCAGACATTCGATGCACAGTCCACCGCTGGAACCACTGTC